TTCGGTACAAAAACGATAAAAGGCAATATATATACCGGTTATTAAAGCTGACAAGCTGGCAAAGTATTTTCCAATCTGGTCTTGCAGTTTATCAAATTTCTTTTTCTTTGGTTCTTAGATTTCCAACACCAAATAATTTGAGTCTACAAATTGTTGAACAGCTGACTTAACTTGATAACTTTAATATGTCACAATGATTCTATTAGTTACACATCTCCATCATCTGACCCACCTGATTTATGTTAAAACAGTTTGTAATTTTCCCTAGCAATTTAATCACCACCAGGTTCACCATGTGCCATGTTCAGAATATCTGAATATCAATCTGTCTAGACATTTGTTTTTATTGTTGAGAATTAATACTAGTTAGTGGTACACCTTTTAATCATTATTAACTTGAAATTACCTGGAAATCTTTACCACTAAAACTCGCACACAAAAAAAAACGAAAAAAACAATTTCTTCTACCCACAGAAAATAATTATTAATGTATGATCCAATTATTGCAGGGTGTCCAGTACAACTATTCATACATTCCTATTTTCATTAGAAATGGCTGAACTCACTGAAGACCAAAGTTAACTGTTATCACCATCAACCAAATTAATTTTCTCCATTTTTCCCAAAAACAATGTTGATCAAACCCATCAGCAACATAAAGTTATGTTAATTTGGTCCAAAATTAAGTCTATGTAACAAATTTTTGTTTGAATACAGAATATATGCAATCATTGTTGTTTTATAAAAATAACTAGGAAATGAAAATTATGGAACAGTCAAAAAGCAATACATTACAGATTAGAATTTGATCAAAAGTTTTTGAGATTTTGCTTACACAGGCTGAAATGAGATAATTAATATGCAAATTAGCTACTCAATATGCATGGACATGGCACCAAAACATAAATTTGATCAAAATCAGCTTCAAAGTTTTTGAGAGTTTGACAGACAGACATGAAAGCTAAAAAGAAATTCTAAAATTTAAAACGGTACTCTTAAATGACCATGAGTTGCGTTTTTTAAATATTTCTTAATCATTATGTAATGCAGTGTGTATTAGATTATTACCACAAAAGTTATTTTGGTTCAGTAATACATGGATAAAAAAAAAAAACAAGAGTTCATGACCCTGCAAGACATATGGTAATACAGATTTAATAATTCCGGGATGCTGATTATTTAATATCATTAATACACACAGAATTCTAAGATACAATACCAACACAAAACATTAGGCCAAAAAATACTAAATATTATTGAAACAGTTATATTCTATAAATCAATTGCTTTCTATGAAACAATTATTGATGGAAATAAACATTACCTGAATGTGTCCCCTCCAAGCGCAGTTAAATAATCTAAATATAGACTATAGTTGACCTGTGTCTCGCCAAGGTCATGGATGGTATCTGGAGCACCCAGGATAGTTCCACCCTAAGAAAACAAAGTTGTGAATCTGAAAAATCTGGGACAGTAATGTTAGGCATGTTGAAAACCATTCTAACAATTTATCAGACAACCCTGTGGGAATCATCCTTGGTATAATCATCAACGTTTTACTCAGCTGTCAAGGATGTACATTAGAAAGAGGTTTATTGGAGCATAAAGATGAGTAATATGAGAATATTTGACTCCATGAATTGTGGGAATAATCAAACTTAAATATTCAACAATTTCAGTGCTTCCACATGGTAGCAAACATTTCTGCTCAGGATATCAATTCGATTTGCAATAATGAATTCCATTTGCTATTACAATGTACTTTTGAACCATGTTTCAATGTACCAGGGGTATCTGGATTCACAAAGATGCACCTTAGTTTTGAATTACTGCAGCGATCTGAAACAATGGTGATTCCAACTGAATCCTCACATATTAATCACAATTTATGCATATTCATAAAATCAAATATGACTCATAATATAAGTTGTATTATTATACAACTAAAGCTGAAAAAAATAGAATTCACCCATCTGCAAAACGTCATAAGGATGAGTTCGAAAGTGTTACGAACATCTTTGAATGTCTCCCATATTTAGTATTTGTGTATCATGTTTTATGTCACATTTAAAGACTTTCCTTTGTTTACTTTAGATGCAGAAGTGCTGTCAGTGTGTGATCAAAATGGAATTTGGTCATTGAAAGTAGATGTTAACACAGTGCGAATTGTTTTAAGTAAAAATTGTAAAAATTATTTTTAAATAAATCACTCACTAATGTATACAAAATAATACAAACATCAACTAAATACAACAGGCAGTTTCAGAGCAGATGTCAAATTGTACTAAACAAATTGTCCATGTACTGATTACTTCAACTTGAAGTTAACAATAAACTCAAGCATATAACAAGTCCAGCGGTTACACACAGACACAAAAATAACTTAAATTCGCATATTAACAACAAATTCAGGAAATACAAAACTCCAATATAAGTTTTCTACCGGATCTATGACTAGCACACACAGTGTGAGATGTCACACTAAAATCTATAAATAGATTATGAGCAGTGATGTGAAAAAGAGTTCATTAGACAGCATGTACAGCCATATAGAATTACACACATCTGGATGTAACATAGGACTGGGTTTTTTGATACCCTAAAGTACCATATAATTACCCACTTCCACAAATATAACTTATATGCTAAAATGACACATTTATTATTAATTATTAGTATTCCTATATTTGTTTCAACTTCCCAGTCTCCCAAGGTCAATGGGTTATTTCATTCACCCCATTTGTTTTCCTTAAGTATTCTCACAAACAGTTTATGGTGCCTATAAGGCTTCACCCATTCAATGAATACAGACTTGGTATGTTTTTGTTGTCGTTGACGTCGTCGTTGTTACTGATTGCTCATGATTCAGACGTCTTATTGCTGAGATACTTTTCACCAACAGACGAGTGAAATGCTTGCCAATGTAAGCTGTGATATAAGGTTACTATTAATGTTTTCACATCATTGACACGTTGCTATTCATATGTTTAAAAAGCCATTTATTACATGCCTTAACTTTCATCAGAGGGCAAGGCCTGTGCAACCATTACTATTACAATGAAGAGAATAATTATTATTGCTGGATTTTATTACCTGTTAAGGTGTATGACTAATTATATCATTAGAAAACATATATGGCTCATAAAGGAAGTCATTGTTTTGAGTGAATAATTGAACATATTGCCATTAAATGTACAAAATACTGGTCTTCCGCATCTCCATTGCTGGTTGTCAATAGCGAATTCATTTTAGATTAGGCTACCACAATTATATATCACTTTCGGCGCCGATAACTACCATACTCAATCTGGCTTAACGCCCGGGTACTTGGCTCCAAAAATCATGTTTATTAGGCGGTTGGGCGCTTACCCAAGCAGCCCTCGGAAATATGTGCACCATGTGACAGATTGAGGCAATTATTACGCCCTACATTTTAAATGCAATTTGGATGAAAACATGTATTTTTCAATATTATTATTTGATACTGTATTGTCATCCATATTGCATCTTTAATATATTTCTTTCCCTTGAATTCTAATTGAGACAAAGACATCCACCTCAAGGACCTGATAAGTAAATAGTCAAAAATTCATAATATAATGAAATGTTTATATCTATTTATGACTTACAGGGGGACAGCTTTCTATGCCGCCTCCACCATAGAAATACTCCCGTCCAAATATAACAATAGCAGTATGCCATATCCCTTCTATATGCTTCCCTAAAAAAAAATAAGAAATAAAGAATATGAATTAATATCTTCTTTGCCTACACAATGTCACCTCGTAATTGCCTCAAAGTACTTAAGTCTACTCATAAAAATGGCAAAAATTGTGGGCATTTTGTTTGCTTTATCCAGAGACTGTGCTTTAACCAATCATATTGGCAAATAACATATATGACCATAGCTTCTCACAACAAAAAATATAATAATGGTTTGTCAGCCATTTTGAATTTCTGAACAAATTGGCCACAATTTGGAGCATTTTTATCTCACGAATATTTAACCGATCAACTTGCTATTTTGCATATACATTTTATGACCAAAGCATCTTCTTGAAAATAACATAATATAAATCAGTGGATACATATCAAAGGCATATTCATGGCAGTCTTCAAACTTGAAAGACAGTTTTAGTTTTCATTTTGTAACTTTCAATCTCAATAGGTCAAAGGTCCTGGACACAACCATTTTCAAATAGGGTTCATATCGTATGGATTTGAATTCAAAATGAAGTTGGATTTTGCATACAAGAATTTCATGAAATAAGCAAATGGTGAATTATAATCCTACAGGCATTCTACATTTGAACTTGGTAAATTTTTATTTGATCACAAGCATAGAATTTTTAATTTAAATTCAAGCACTTGGTCAAATAAAGTGCAATGTTTGAAATGCAAATTATTGTTATTAATTAGTGTTATTTAATTTACAAAAGGTGAAGGCAAAGTAAGCACTGGCAAAGATCTTAGCAATATATACAGGGAAAGTAGATAGGGAGATAACAGTTTCCCTGATCAGTTAATTTCGTCGCATGCTGGTAGCCAAGCAAAATGTATGTACGGTAATCAATAAGACTATAGTCCAGTAATGACGAAAGTAGGCAAAACGATTTCATCAACCATGATTCAGCAATTAAGATGATTGTAGACAAGAAAATGTAGTAACATATTAAAAGCAGCAGTCAAATGATGTATTACTTAAAAATAGTTTAATGTTGAATCACAAAGATACAAGATAAATGTACAAGACAGCGTTACTTCTGATTCTAGTAAAGCCATGCCCACTACCCCCACAGAAATAATGGTCCATCCTTTTACTAGTGTCAAAATTCATCTCAAATTTCTGCCCCCGTACGTGTGTGAATATCATTATCCGTAAAGATCCGTATTATTTTAGAGACGAGATCATAACCCCAAAACGGTGCATATCGATAAACGCAAAAAGTCTTTCCTTGGTGACATGTGGAAAAACACCCTACGTGAATGGAATTCTTAACATTTGTAAACAACTGAACTCGCCCACAACACAGGACGCCGATCAAGCAAATTTCAGATCCCGTTGAAAATGATGAAGCAAAATATGACTTACCAAGAAATCCCTGAGACATGGCCCTTGCCATCCCTTTGCTTATATCATATATAAACAGTTTGACAGGTTTAAACTCCATGATGCGTTCTGTGATTGCTACTGCCGGTGAATGAATTTCTGCTTACTCAAACATGACGTCTGCAACTCGAGGAGAACTCCATTATTTGCCGTAAAACGTACAGCACATTTTTGCGACGAGCATGTACTGGTGTTTAAATGCCGTAAACATGAAATAAAAATAACCGAACGCATGTTGGCGATATATACATTTTTTTCAATCTGATAAAATGTAACCGCACGCCGCGCACAGCACCCCCTACAAAAAACATTGCCAGTACAAATAATTAAACATAATTAATCGTAATTTTAATGATTTTATTGAATAATATAAATCAATACGTTTACACAAATGTTGATAAGTGTCATTGAACATGTTATTTCCAACTGTCATTTGAAATTTGTAAACATATATAAATATTGTATATAAAAAAAAACATTCAGGCCTTCATGAAATTCACTGTAGATGAAATGCACTCTTATTCATGTGACAGTTCCTTCCTCCTGCTCAATCCACCGGGGGAGTCCATACCATTATTGATGGTAGTGGGATGGGCGACCGGGATCCTGGGTTGTACCAGCGATAGATTGCAGTAAAATAATAATATTGTTTTGGCAGTAAACGTAGCAGTATTTGTTCGATGAAATAATGAACACGTAAATGCGAATGCTTCCGGATTTACCTGTACAGATAATGTGAATCGCTGTCGTTTTCATTGTAATCAGTACTATTGCGTTTCATTTTTACAATAAACTTTAACCTAATATTTGTATCGATACAACATTTTTTAAACATGTTCAAAAGCACTATGGGAATTACTTTGTGGTTATTCTGGGATTGCCGCAAAGCCTGGCTATGTGCGAAGAATGTACGACAATCGTATCGACCGTAGCGTAGTTATTCTAAATTTAATATGACCAATGCGTTGTCCACAACGTGACTCATCATCTCTTCAATGTAAACTTCTGTGTGGAAACATAAATTGAAAACCGGTGAACTGGGCGTACACATCACAACTGCTAATGTTGGTGTTATGCTCATCGACACATGAGATTTTATCATGGAATAGTTCTGGAGAGTAACAGTTGACTTCAATGAGTTTACGTAGATCCGACATCCGATCATGCCTCTGTCAAAATGATTTTATACATGTTTTCAAAATAACCCAACTCTTGTATTTAATTTTTAGCTTAATTTTATATACTTC